TTTTATTGCTAGGCGTTGAAGCCTACCAAACGCAATTAGCAAAGTGACTTCTCCCATAAAGCGTCCGCGCGTTTAGAAGAGCCTTGAAAAATCATCGTGACGAGCTGAGCCGGGGCAATTTCGCTTCGCGTGATGCGGCGAAAACCTTATCGCGAGACTTTAATTGAAATTTTATGTTTGAGAGAGGGCAACCAAAATCCTCCGAAACAAAGGGGCGTACAGATATTACATTCAACTCGTTTCTCTTTCCCTCTCACTTTCTCTCATCGCGGTTCATCCGCTTCGTTTCGCGCGCGCAGGCGGGTAATTAAAATTCGGCGTGCGGATTAATCACCGGCAGACAGGGTGCTCAGATTCGCGGCTCGTTATTAGGAGACTTCTCGCGAATTATAAAGTTCATTTTCGAACATAACTGTCGGACATGAAAAAGGTAAGGTAAAAGATAACGAGTCCGAGCACTCACTATGCAAAGTACAATCTGTATATTGTTCGTTGCAAAATACTACACGAAAAGAAGACCTCAGTTTCTATCGATGAATAAGGATCAGATAAAAATTCACTGACGACTATCCGCTGCAGCTCGAAGAATTTGTCCGAACATTTAGCTACGTTAAAATTCGGCTGAGATAACTGAAAATAATTGACTGATCAGAAGCTGGGATCTTTTTATTCCTATAATCGTGTTCGGTCTTTGTTTTATCCAACGGAATATTCAGTTACACCGACGAAATTGTTTCTTTCGTGTGTAAACTTGAAACTGGCGATTCGGTTATAAGTATAGTAATGTAGTCAGATCTCGCTGAAAAGATTAATTAGTAGTAGCGATCGCTGCCATTATTGATACAGTTTGCAAACACAAACAGAGTGCCATCGCACGCAAGGCGGAAAGCCGTTAATCTCGCCGCAAACACAGAAAGTTGGCTTTAATATAATGTATACAGGGTGTTCCAAAGTTCAACTCATACTTCAGGAGTGTACCTAGAGAACATCGTAGACGAACTCTTTAATAGAAACTCATTGGTCTATTGCGGTCAAATTACAAGACAAGAGGGTCTTGAAGTTGGTCCTCTGGCTGTTTCATGCAAAATATGAAACAATATAGTTAGTTTTTAGATTCTAATAGATATGATAAAAGTGTATTATTCCATTTTAGTGGTGCCAGCTAATATAAACAAATGGCAGGAGTCTCGGGGACTTGTAAACAATTCCTGTTTGGTGACACGGTGAAGAGTTTTATATCCTTTTTCGTCACTTGGGGATACTCGCACCGCGGTCTCGGCTATATCATAGGACTGGGGGTGGAAAAATTATTTGAGGTCAGGATTATGTAACCTGTTTATATTCCCCGGCTGCTATTCATTGTAGCAGACTTAAGCGATATAGTAAATTCCTTTGTTTCTCTCTCCCGTTTGCAGATATCAATTTCTATTATAAACTGGTTCTACTGGGTTGCTTCGATACGCTCCTGAAATGCGAGTCAAACTTCTTGAGACACGCCGATGAACTTGTGCTACAGATTTCGCAGTGAAATTTTACTTCCAGTGATTAAAACCAATGAGAGATAAGACGGAAGAGTGTCCATTGGAAGTCAATGAATACTTATTTGGATTATCGTTAAATGGTTAAATGAAATAAATTAAGTGGAATACTTCTCTTATTTAGCTACAATAAAAACATTTACTAACTCGCTTTAAAGTAGTTGGCCTGTAAATTAATTTTTTTTCCAAAAGCGTCTTAAATTTTAACAATGAAAAATATATATATATATATTATTAATGAAAATACGATACATATATGTATACATGTACAGTTAAACGTATCGAAGCTGAAATAATCGAAATCAAGTTTATGTGAATATATTACATCTGATATTTTAGGCTTTCGTGAGGTAGAGAAGTATTTGATTTGATTTCCGGGTTTGTGTCGCATCTGTCTTGGATTTATTTCCGACGTTTCCAGTTCTTCAAGAGAAGAAACATTTAGAATAGAAATTGATCGTCTGAAAAGTTTCCATTTTTATGTGTGCATTTCGAAGGATGGCTAAGTGCCTGTTGGACGATTAGTTGATATAGAGAAGGGGAATCAAGAGGAGAAAGGAAGTATAATGATGGAAATGAGGTGTGTACTGTATTTTTCTGAAGCCGGAAATATTAATCGCTATGTTGGATTGGCTTTTATGCCGCTGTCCCTGCTTAGATCATTGGGACATTTATAAATCTCCACATTTTCGAGGGAAATAGGTGTTTGTTCTGACTAAAATTGAGAATTGATCAAATAAAATTGTGTGTTGTTTGTGCGTGAAGTATATTAAATTTATCGCATGTATGAGACAGTTTCCTATATCACGTTTCTAAATCTAGTGATCAAATTATTCTCGTGTTTCTAACGAAAAACAAAAGAACGATAGTTTTGGAAAAATTTATGTGAAAAGTAAAAAACAATTTCAGATAGCAGTTGACGTGTATGACAACTAATCTCTCATTCTTGTAATATAGCATTTGTTAGAGTACGGTATATATCGGTACATGTAATATATATGCTATATTTTTACACACATGTGGAACGCCGAAGTAAAAAGTCCCAGCCGAAAGTATCATACGCTAAAAAAGCGAGAAACGATTATTTCTTTATGGTTTTTTTAAATATTGCACAAAATTGACATTCTTGCAACAGTGCCAAAGTCATATATCGCAAACCATATTAATAAACATTTAACGTAGTTTTGTTCTTCGTGCTATTGTGTGAATAATTAGTTTCTTAAGAGTATTATCACGGGTTACCTTAGATAGCTCCATTCATACAAAATTGCGATGTGGATTGAGAAAGATTTTTCTCTTTCCTTTAACATCACATACAGAATCAGGCCATGACAGCGCGTCTCCGCTCCGTTTTATCGTGCGTCGCGCACTAAGACGATAAAATCCGAGGAGATTTCTTCGAGTATGGGCGGATTGCGCGGGTAAACGGGCTTCCGAATCTCCTTCTCCTTAAATATAGGGCGTGATAATACGTTGATAAGCGTATTCGCCGGTGGTGAATTGGAGCCGGTACAAAGTGGCATGATGGAAGCAGACCGCGGCTCTATCTTACGCATTCGAAATTCCCGACGAATTTCCATAGTAATTGTTGCAGCAGAACGCGGGCGCGTGGCGCCGCCGGCTTCTATTACTTACGGCCTTACTTACTCGTCCGCTGTATACAGTCGTATATTGCGAGCGTGAACGCGATGCAAACTTCTCGCGGTTTCACACATGTGCGCGTATACATATATTAATGCCGACTAAGGACTTCTGCGTCACGTAATTCAGCCAACTGACACAGCACAGTTTATCTCCAGGCCGGGTTACGCAGGGTTACGTTATACGTTATCGCCATTATTTGCTTAATTAGCGCACGATTACGTTTTAACGTCCTTCTGTATATCCAAATTGCTCTTGTATGAGCGACCTATTTTTGCCGGAGCGGCGATCTATTTTTGTTGCGATGTTTTTTTTGTGCGAGAGAACGAAATTTTGCGTCGTCGCGGCGTTAAAGTAAATGCGGGAGAGAGAGAAAGAGTGAGAAAAGAGGAGAGGGGCGAGTGTGTGTATGTGTGTGTGTGTGTGTGTGTGTGCGTGTGCGTGTACGCACGCTCGATAATATAAACCTGCGCTTTTATCCAATTTTATATTATTCGGATTCAGAAAGTAAATATACATTTATATCCCGGCTGAAATATAAACTCTCTCTGATATAAACAATGGTACGAGTTTTTCGGGGCTGCTGTTTACGGATAAAGAGTAACCATGTAAATTTTCCACACATTCAAGCTACGGTTACCTGTGATTAATCTCACAACGTCGTATCGGATTAATTTACTCGTCGGATCGTTGCAACTACCGCATAATGCAACTTCCAATATCGCACGACAAAGAAAAGCTCCTCCCGATAAAGGATTTTTCCATCAGCGTTCCGTTGGACGTTCACTGACAATTTTAAATTAAGCACTGAGGCACGACGATATTCTGAAAGAAAAAAATGAAAATGGTTAATCTTTCCAATAATGATAATTATTTTCAGAGCCAACTATGTCTTCTTGTCGTTTCAACGAAAAGTAACAGCAGCGATATACAATAAGCAATAATAAAAAGTTCTTGTCGCTATAGTAACATTTGCTACAAAACTGGCTCTTCTGGCTATAGTAATAATAACTATTATTATTATTTCAAATACATTACCCATTATTATTTGTTATTAATAATGGGAATATTATCCATTAGTATCCATTATTATTGATAACGCGAATATTATATATTCATTATTAAACCAGAAAAGATAATACAATTAATCGTGGAGAGAATCGAAATTGAACATAACACAGAATTATGGCAAAAAAAAAATATAGAAAAATCTACATTCGAGTTGCAATAACTCTTCCACTGTGTAATTAATTGCAGTCACAAGCACCGCTCTTTTTTTCCTCGGTTGATAACGGCAGACGTCGCGCGTTTCGACCGCGCGCATAATTCAGCCGCAAATCGCGAACGCACAATCGCACTCGCCCGGCCGCAAGTCTCGTGCGGCGCGTTTACTCTGCATCCGTCCGTTTCGTTCTAACGTAAGTTTGGTATTCAGCCGACGGCTACGGAAGTTTATCGCCCGATATATCGGCCACCATCGGCGTTGTTCGCTCAATTATCGCGCGATCAAGCGCGACTCCGCCGCGAACGCTCCCTCCGCGCCTCTCTCGAGCGTGCCGTCGAGCGCGCGCGGGCGCGTCGAGAACGGAAATATCGGGAATAAGCGGAGTGACGCGCGCGACACGAATTCTCGCAGGCTGATATGAAATTTGCCACGTTCAGGTGGCAAGGCGAACGCAACGCGCTGCACGAGCTCGAGCGTACTCGTATCTCGCGGGATGTAGGCGTGGATCTCCCCCGGCGCAACGCGGAAAATGTTGCCCGGGCGACGCCGGCGTCGACGTCGCTATATAGTCTCAACGTCGCTTTTTATGTTCCCAGGACTTTGTCACGGGTCTGAGTATACTGTCTCGCGGCTCGATAGACGAGAAACTCCGCTGGACGTTTTCTCTTTACGACATCAACGGGGACGGCTGTATCACGCGCGAGGAAATGACCGACATCGTGACTGCCGTGTACGAGCTGATGGGGAAATTCGCTGATCCGAACCTGGATCACCAGGGCGTGCGCGAGAAGGTGGATCGTATGTTTCAGGTGAGAAGACGCGGATAGAGGCTCTTGGACACGGAGAGAAAATATCGTGGTGATAAATTGCGTTCAAATCATACGTCCCTTTCGACAATCTTTTTTTGTAGGGCTCGACCATATCGATATTGTGGGTTATTACAGAAAATGTAAATAATAAATAAACAACACAGTCGAATGATTATAAGACTATATGGTAAAAATGTACGTAATTTTTTTTTCAACAAATACGTAGTGATTTCAGTTATTGTTCTGTATGGTTCGAAATTACAAAAAGTCTACTGTAATTTTCATTGGAATATTTTCTCCGTGTACCGTTTCGCTTAAAAGGGAGAAAGAATTTTTATTGAATACATAATGTAATAAATACATTTTGTTGAATATAATAAATTCGGTAATTTAGGTTAATGCATATATTGGGGATAGATCGCAGAATAGCTTAATCTTCACGGAGAATTATTTAGTCTCTCTTTAAGGATAAATTCCGCAGGAGAGTGTTAATTGAGTCGAGAGTGTTAATTGATTCAGCGACTAGGGGAAGAGCGCGACAAAGAAATAAATGAATTTCGTACGTCCTCGAAACGCGCGATGCTTGTCGATAATTCGTTCACTCCGAGGAGAGGAAACGGGTGTCTGCGGAGTGTACATTCGCGAGAGAGACAGGAACGAGCCTTTCTTTTTAGCGGCTGTCACATTGTTAGCTGCGGATGACAATGCCCGCAGTGCACTCGTTCTCCTCACCTACCTCTCACCGCCGGCGGCGGAAAAAGGAGCAAACTGTTTTACAGAGACAATTTGCGCAGATGACGTGTCTTCTGTATGTCCGATTCAGGCACCGCGCGCTTCGTCAGTTCTGTGACGGCTGGAGTTCAAAGAGTTAGCGTTTTTAAGATACACACGACGTTGACAATCGAATAGCGTGTCATGCCGACGCGGGCGCCCACGCGCGGAGTAGCTGCATGCGGTATTTCGGCGAAATATTTACCGAGAGCGAATGAGATCGCGTTCGAGTGTGGCGAAAGCTGACAAGAAAATGTCGGACTGACGACAGAATTATCGTCAGCAGAAACATTTTTTTTGTTTAATGTTACTACAGTATTAACCTCTTAGGCACGACGCGCCACTCTAGTGACTCACTCACTCACCCACCGTTTGAATTAACTGGTCGTTTTCATATGTCTTGTTTCACACTTCTTTTGCCTTCACAACGTTTTATAACAGTGTTAACAATATACACACAGAATATACAGTCTTTGTTTTTGATACGTCAGTGTCAGGTATGAATTGTTGCTTTTCGTTTAAATAAATATACCATTTGCTTTTTTCAACATGCCGATCCGTATCCTTATAATTTTCCACAAAATCTGAAAAAGCATTACGAAATTGTATCGTATGTTCAAAGAACGACGTAAGACGAAGATCGCGCTATGAGTGTGAAGATTGTGACGTGGGTTTATGTGTCGTACCGTGCTTTAAAATATATCATACTCAATTGTATTATTAATTATTAAAGTAAATTATTAAAGTTAAAGTATACGTATCATATCTTTAAGAAAAATTATAATTTAATCATCAAAAACTTCATTCCAATGTGCTCGCGTAGAGAGAACAGCATTGTCCGTCACACATTGCAGTGCTGTATCGTTTGCGCGTAATTCGCGTCGAACTCTGCCGAATCGTATAGAGAAACAGCCCCGCGCAAAATTCAGCCGTGCCTAAGAGGTTAATGATAATAATCTATATGAATGTTGCGACTGCTACTTCCTTGGTAAGGCAATGAGAAGACACAGTTGACGCCGAAGATGACTACAATTTTATTAAAATCAAGCATTTTTTCTCTCAGTGCGTTATATCGAGAGACAAGTGTCCTCGTTGTTATCTCGGCAAAGTTGTATCCCCGGATTTCGTGCCGGTTGGAATTCTTACACTGTTCAGCGAGAAATTCAACGAGATACATTCAACGAGAAGCGCCGACGTTGCATGTACGTAAGAGTGAAACTACGAGAGGCAGGGAAAGAACGATACACGAACGCGCCCAGCTCTCACATCGCTTCACCCCAACCACGACGCGGCGGAGAGAAAGAACGAGGGAGATGCGTGTTCGCATGTGTATTCCCGACAAATGCTCCTTTGCATGGGTCGACGTTCAATTTCACCGTCGGACGATACCGGAGAGAGTTTTCGGTCGGAAGCTCGTCTCGTAATCTGCTACCGGCGAGCTCGTTAAGCTGCCACTGTACCCTCTTCCCCGCCCTTCTGCCCCGAGATTCTCATCTTCGATTCCGTGTAGCCGTTTGAATTCACTGACGCTTGAATCTCCCTACCGCTACCGTTGACGCAGAAAGCAAACGCAAATTTTGACGGTAAAGGCGATGCGAGACCGGAAAGGGTAAACGCCTTGTTTAGGGGCGCTTTTGAAACATGCACACCGATACATGTGTACGCGTCCGTGGCCGTGCGTCCGACGGCCACGAAACCTCAAGAGAAAGAGAGAGAGAGAGAGAGAGAAAGAGGGGGGGGAGATGGGATTAGTACAACACGAGGATCCAACTCGAAACCGCAGTATATGCGCGAGCACCTTATGTTTACATACTATATACTATACGGATAGTTTAAATTCTAATTGCCTGCGGTTCCAGTTCCTCAAAGACCCCAAGGGCCTCGCGCGCAAGGAACCGCGCTTACTCCTCAATCTAACTTGAAGCCACTGACGCGCTACGGCACACGTTATACAATAAATACGGCACTCAGCTCTTAATTACAATCTATTATTTTCATCCGGGGCTCTCTTGAAAAGAGTTAATTAATTTTTTCTCCTTGGGTCAGGCAAAGTGCATCCTCCCTCCGCTTGCATTAGCAAATTGCTTCGGGAAGAAAGAAAGAGACTCTGTGATTAAACCGTTTAAATGATGAGGTGAACAAAGGATGTAAGTTTTCTATAATTGACTCTCTCTCTCTTTCTCTCTCTCTCTCTCTCTCTCTCTCTCTCTCTCTCAAGCTGAGACGAAGTTGCACCAGAAAAGATCTGTCGAAGAGTCACTCAAGAGAAAAGAAGAAGATCTGTTTATCTTGCGCGTATATATCGTTCATTCAATCGTGCTATTCTTCATTAAGGAAGAAATGGCTAATCTCGTAAAATTACAGTCACTTTCGGTGTCAACTATATCTTCTTGTAGTTTCAACAAGTAAAAAGTAGCAGCGATGCGAACGTGGGATTATTATTACTATCACTATAGTAATATTATAGATTTATGTACATAGATTGAGTGCTACACAAGAGGTCGCGAAAAGCTGACTGAAAAAGAGTATCCTGTTAATGCAGACATTCGATCTTTGTCCAACTTGACTCCTCTTGTAGCCCAGCTAGCTAGACAATGTCAAGCTAGACAAAGATCGAATGCCTGGCGATAATGGAAGGGGAAGCTTTTCAAATTTTGTGCTCAAACTTGTCACAAAAAGCCACAGTGTACGAGGAGTATGTATGCAATGTGTCTGATCGAAAGGAACATCCTTTACCATCCTGTGAAACCACTTCGATAATTATTGAGATGTCAATGGAATTTACGACGATGCATTGTATATTTTTATTTGGCGCTGAAAAGTAAAAAGAAAAAAAAGTCTTTTTCCTTATATTATTATTTTATATGTTATTTTGTCTCTGTTCAAAAGCTTGTCGTCTTGACAGAGATCTGGTGGCGAAATTAGATTGTTCAATAGGAAATTCGCAGGAATTTTTACAATAAACTCCAAGCCTACAACCCCATAGTCGGGTATAGTTTTATTCTTTTTATTCTCTTTTTCAATAATCCGCCGTCGAAAAAGTAGTTAATACATTACGACCAAGTTGTACCCAAACATAAAAATCTCTTTGCTTTGAACCTTTCACGCAAAGTCCTGCGAACAATAGATCGCCAGTCGTCGATAATTAACGAATTTTTTCGGCACACTTCGGTCCAGACACTCTATAAGTATAAGTATGTCTATGAATAGCATTTACTGGAAGAATCCTTCTCCTCACTACGTATATAGCTACAAATATCAAACATTCTTTTCTCAGCGTAAATACGCCACGTCGCTGCAGCCCGCGACGCTAATCGAATCGACGTGTACAGTCGTGTGTCGTTATGAAGCGCGAGACATATTTCGATAATGGTAGTGCAAACTATCGGTGGCCGTTCGCGCGCCATCCAATTAAACGTTACTCCAAAGTGCTCGCCCGCACTACTCTACCGTCGGGTCTTTTGATTCCGACACGATATGTAATACATCGACGCGAGCTATCAATTCCGCGATTCACCAGAGAGCGAAACGGCCGCTCGACTGACAAGCACTGGGATTTCTATACGCGGACGTTACTTGCTATATTCCGCGGTTAAACTTCACGGTCGCGATATCAATATCACCTGCTACGTGAATGACCCGCGCGGCATCGCGCTATTTGCCAAGTCGTCACGCCGCGATACGTGCGGAGAATACCAGTACGATATAATATCGCCGCGTCGCGGACTCGCGATAATCAATTATAAGCGCGCTAATTCGCGAAAGCGAGCGCTTCTCCGTTAATACGCCGGATAAATTGCGAATAAATCAAACCGGAGGCGGAGGTAGACAATCGACGATGATACTGAAAGCTCCATTAATGCTGTCCCATTCCGAAAAATCCAGATATCGAACCGTCCAGTCAGATGAGACGAATCTAAATATTCACGCGCATCGCGCGACTGTCGAGTATTCGAGGAATTATCAATGCTACTCCAAAGCAGCTAGTCTGTCGGTTTGACAGCTTCACCTCGCAATCTCTGTACAATTATCGGAAATAATATGTATTGAATGAAATTGTTGTAATTTCAATACTTACGACGCGGCGACCTCTTGTTACTTCTCCGCTTCCATTTCATCATTTGTATTATTCCGAAATGTCTCTTTGTCAAACCAGCTTACCAATCCGTTACTCATTCATATTTCTTCGGCGCTGCGCCGATTAATATAAAACTATCAAATGTGTGGTG